ACGACGACGACTGCCACCACCACCTACGACTGCTGCTACGACGACGACTACTGCTGCCACCAACACCGACGACTGCTACCACGACGACCGCAGCGACGACTACTACCACTATGACGACGGCGACTACTGCTCTCACTACTGCACCGGCACCACCATCACTACTTCCGTTTATCATTGCAATTCCTTCGCTACCATGAGGGACTTAGCACAGGCAGAAGTTGTTGAAACCGGAGCCGAGGAGATACGCGAGGCGTGCGGCGAGGAAGGCTGGAAGATGGGATCAGCCAGCATTTCGGGCTTAAGGCTCAGGAGCTGTGGGTCAATTAGGATGTCAAGCATCCACTCTAGACTCTGAAAGCATGGGTGGTGGAGCTGAGTCGCATTTCTGTTCCGGGCCACAGTTACTCCGGCGGTTTTGCAGGCGGAGAGTTCGTCCTCCAACCGAACTGCCGCTTCAGCGTCGTTGGTGCCATGGCCGCTGCAGGCCCTCAGCGTACTGTAGCAAGATCCGTCGGCTGACTGAGATGCGATGCAGTCGTGTGCAGCGACAGCAGCACATTGTCGATACATGCTATGACACAGTTGTTAGCCACTTGTGCCACTTTCATGTCAGAAAACGAGTTGGCTGTGGGACCCTTCGTCCCCCACCATCCTTCGGAACAGAGTGGGTTCGATCGTGGTGCAGGTAATGTCGCTGGTCGGCTCATGGCACTGGAATTGATGGAAGCAAATGCTGAAGACGAGCATGATTTCTAGCAGTAATTAGCTCCTGCAGAGATCCAGATTTGCTGCCTTCGTGCTTGTGTGATTGGCGAGGGCAACCTGTTGACGGTGTGAACTGCGCCGCTCAGAATGGCACGTAAAGGTAAGCTGGCAGCAAGCAATCAAAACAAAAAACAGGGCATGTTTGTGCTGGTTTACTTCGCGTCGGGCTGTGAAACGGCCACCTGTACATGATCAGACGGGAGTCGTTCCGGGTTGTTGCAAAAGTGGGGTTCCTAGACATCGCCTGATAGCAGTTAGATCGATGAGGGTTCCCGGACCGACCCCGAGATGTTGCATGACAACTTATTTAGTGTTTAGTCTTAGGTGGCAGTGTCCAGGTGCAGCTTGCGTTCCCTGTATCGCTTTGCCACATTTATGTAGATCAACGGGCCAGCCATCGGCTGGCATCAGTTCTGTTGAAACCGTGACGCACAGGAGGAGGTTTCTAGGGTCGACGGCTTGAGGTGGTTGACAGATGAACAGCTTGACTATGAATGTGTGTTGCAGACTTGCGGGATCCTTCGTGCAGTTAAGACTCCCTGCAGTTCACTGAAGAGTCTCCAGAGAGCTGGCAGAAGGCCACTCTAGTATACGTTTCTAGCTAAACCACAAGTGCAGACACAGTGCGTTGTGTGCGCAAGACTTCTCGTGCTGCTTGTACGGAGCCCTGGGCCCTTGAATTCCAGACTTGATTGCACGGGCCCTTGCTGTGTCCCAAGCCTCATCATGCTTGCCAAGGTTAGTTCGCGAGCTGGGCCACGATCACTGCCTGACTTCGTCGAGCAAAATGCCATGCCGACGCGACACTGCTTTGCTATAGATACTATAGTGTATGAACTGCTATTTCTGCTGCATTGGTAAATAGGTCTGTCGCATGCCTGCTCAGCTCCGGCTTTGCTGTAACCTTACGGATGCAAGACCCTGTCGTCGTTACACTTCCTGAGTCGGGCCTCGGTTGAAGCCAAAGCCCGTTCCAGGAAGGCTTCAGGAATCTCCGGAGAGTGTAGAGTCATGATATTACAGCTTCTGCACACGAAGCTTCCAGACACAGTGACCTGTGTTGTCTGCATGAGCTGCATGCAGCCACGGTGCCATTCAGCTACGAAAACATGCAGCTTGACAAATTGCATCAGTAGCGAAGGTGATCAGTTTTTCAGTCTGCTGTAAATCGACCAGTGCTGTAAGACAAGGCGGCTACCCTGCTCTCGTACCCTGAAAGAGAAGCCATCGATAGTACTCCGTGTGCTACAGAAAAGAATATACAGCGGAATGCCAACCCTCTTACATGTTTACAGAAAGTTCAACTAACTCTTTAGTTGCATGAATACATACAGTATATACATACAGTATATACATACAGTATATACATACATACATACATACATACATACATACATATCTAGAACACCAGTGCACTTAAAGGTTTACAGCCTTCCTTGGGCAAGATGTCGCCAGCAGCTTGCATTCCCTGGTGGTACTCATCTCAGCATGTTCGTTCGCAGCTTTCAACTAGGGTCGGGGAAACAGGGTAAGTTTCCGATGGGCCCAGGTACAACACGACGACAGGATTTGCTGGCTGCCCTTACGGCAGGCTTCTCCTTCGGAATGGAATATCCTAGCAGATTCTGGCCAGTGTTGGCATCAAACCTGTCCTTAACAGGCGCCTTGTCGGTGATGTCACTCTGCCCGACGAAGCCTCCGTCATGGACTGGATCGCTGTGGTGTACAGCCGGCGTCTCAAGCTGTCCTCAGGTTGAATTGCTTTTGGACCACGATGCTGCCAGCAGGCTACATTCCCTGGGTCGTGCCAATTCTAGTCTTCGCAGAACTCCTCATTACGCGAGGCGGGGCGCGGGCCTGCATGCAGAAACAGCGGCTGTCAAAGCATCCTAAATTTCATCAGAAGTTGCATTCTGGAAACTGAAGCAGCACGCCGGGAATCTTGGCTAATTGCACACTTCGACAGGAACTCGCCAGCTGTCCATCCTTCTCTTCACCGGGTCAACTACCCTTGCTAATGCCACGGACTCGCTGCCAAAACGGAGATTTTCAATGTGGCCCGCTTCCATGATCTCAGTTTCTTAGGAGTTCATCGTGAAAAGGCTGGGGACTTAGCCTCGCAGCTCCACTGGTCCATCTGATGGTGCCGTGCGCAGTGTGGCGACGAGGGCCCTCCTGGCTGACTCTTTGAGGTTGCTGCAACAGCCGCGGCCTGGGGCGCTTGGTCCTGCCGCTTGCGCTACGAAGTGTGGCGGGTTTGACAGCTGCTGAAGCGGCAGGCTGACCACTAGCTCGTAAACCCTGGTCACATCTTCATTCTCTTGGCGGATCAACCTGAGGTATTTGACATGAGGCACTGTAGAACACAACCGCCCATCATCGCCAATCCAGCCGTGACGCAAACCAAGTCGCCTGGGCTGCTTACCAACACCGACGGCGTGCACGTCGGCAGCTGCAATAAAAGCTGCACGGGCCTTGTCGGCCAAGCTTTGCAGAAGTTTATTGAACAGAGCAGCTGTAGAAGCAATCACCGGGGAGATGAGACAGTTCCGTTAAATGCAGTGGCCGATGCAAGGTGGCATGCCTTCCTCGCATGCCACAATGGCTATAGGCAGCAGGGCTGCTACAAGTGGGAGAGATTGGCGGGGGGAACATGACTGCGTCGTGCCATAGGATCAAGGAGATCGCCGTGACATGCACTTCAAGAAGCCTTGACCTGCACCAATCATGCACGATGGGATGCAAAGCCTGCACAGGCTTTCTGATGCTGACGATGTTTGATGGCATCATGCGGGTCATCCCCGAGTCAGCTTCTCTTTCGCAGGCCTTGAAGTCGGGGCCGAAGCCGCAAGCCCTAGATTCGAGATGTCGCGATGCCCAAACTCTAGGCTCTGTGCACCTCTGTGCTCTACCTACATGTAAAAGGTGGGAAAAGGAGCTTGAGCACTACGAGTTTCCTTTCGTGCTGTGGCACGGTTCGACAAGGGTTCCGGCGGGGAACTCTCCTTTCCTTCCAGATATCCCTGCCCGAGTGTATCGCAATAGTTTGTCTTTGATGCGGAATCTAGGGCACATCGGACAAAGGCACGGATTATGGTTGCTATGTTTGTGGCAATTGTTGTGATTGTGTTTGTGTATGCCAGCTTTGCGTGCTGATTGGTGATCGTAGTATGTTGTTGCTGTTCACGATGGCAGGAATGATGGTGATAATGGTTTGGCAATGGTGGGACAGCTGCTGCTGCTAATGGTGATGGTGATTGCGACAGCCCTATTCGACAAGGGTGGTGTAGCTGTTGGCCGCTAGAGACATTGATAACGGTGGTTGGCATGTGGTGGGCGCGTCGTGGGGAACACATGGGTCTGCGTGCGGTGGTGGATGTTTGATACGGCTTTGGCTTTGTGGGATTGTGGGCAGGTTCTCTTAATTCACGGACAATAGCGTTTTCGTGAATGCTGCCGATTGCTTATTCTGTTCTGCTATTTGTTGTTCTGATTGTTCTGGAGAAGATTGGATTTGTGCGGGCAAATTCGACCATTCTGCTGCAGGATTTTCGCTCATTTCGCTCCAAGAAGCTTTCTCTAATCTGGCAGATGATCACGGTGTGCGCCTCAGAGGTAGCTAATTATGCCGTAAGTGCGGTTCCAACTTCGTATCGTCGGTCCTCATGCCTTGTAGCAAGCACGACCCCACGACATACGGCCGTTTGCAAGGTCACGCCGCTTTCTCCCAAGCCGGCCTGGCCGACAGCAAATATTTTTTCAGCCTGCGAGATGCTGCTCAGAGATGGTCAGGCCATGTACACACTGGAGTTCCTGGGCTTCTTCTCCACATGGATGCTTTTGCTGTGCCCGGTGTGTTCCTGAGCGTAGCTCCCTCATTGCCCGTCCTCCAGCTCTGAGTTCTGAGGTGCCGTTGATGCGAGTGCAGCTTTACGACCATTCAGCGTTTCCGGCACTCTTGAATCATGAACTCTGGGTCAGCTACAGGACCGCACGATCATGAGCTTTGGGTGCGCTTTCGATAGCCGCCAGCCCTGCATGGAATCGTCAAGAGGCGGCACATGCCGGAAAGTTGCAAAAAAGGGTCCAGATAAAGCTCAAGCTGCATCAGAAGCAGCAGTTCAATCTGAACACTACACTTCCCTGCTCGAAGGACGGATGGAAGCCCTGAAGCCTAATTTTTTCATTGAACCTGCCGATCACCACTAAGTTCATGCAGAGAAATGCTGTGCTGCCTGGTCGCCAGGCACAGCAGGCTGCTCTCGGGAGCTTGCGGGCGGCTTAGATTCCTGCTGGACATATCTGGACATGGTTAGACTGATGCTTAGGCCGTGTTTGGTGCTGTCCAGGTACACCTAAACAAGAATGAAATTGGTGGCACACATTAGCGAACGGCTAGATCGAGGTGACGGCTGATGCCTGCATAGCAGTCCTGTCGCAAAGAGAAACGGAGCCACGTAAGGCACTTTGCAGAAGACTTTGGAGTGGGTACCGGGCACTTCAAGTTGCTAAGCTCATCGTGCCTTCTCTGACAGGCCAGCTAGTACGATGAGCAACCCTTCTACAAGTACCAAAAAGAAACCCTGCTACTCAAGGGTGTCCCTGCCGCAGGCTTGTCCTGGTGTCAGTTTTTGAGGTCTTCAGCGCGAGATTGTGCGTGATCGCCTAGCGGCACAAGCTGCTCCCAATGTTCAGGAGCCTCGTAGAGCGACAGCAACCACACCTTAGTTACCCGTAGTTTTGAGTCGTTCGACCGCATCAGAATTCATTAATAAGTTACATATTTCATTACCGCCAGCAGTTGATACTTCCAGCCGGGATGAACCTCCCCGATTGTAAAGTTAACGTTTGCTCAGGTTGTCCTGTCGCGAAGCAAGCAAAGCCCAAGCAAGAAACCCAAGACATTTCAACTACTTGTACTAACACAAACTATGCTTAGGGATTTGCCAACTTGGCTGTGTTCTGAAACAGCATGCGATTGACAGCACGCTTGATGCATTCTAGATGCTTTCTGAGGCTGGGTGTCGCCCGGTGCCTGGATGCCTTTGACTGCTCTTTGTGACTTCCGTTCTTTGCATGCCCAAGGTCTATGCAATGATCTGGTTCCAGTTTGCGACACCTGGTCGCATCTATTTGTGTTCAAGTCTGGGCCGCAAATTGGACGGCTGTATACCGGTGTTCTGCCTCCACTTCTTGTGTTACCTGTGTGCCGTGGTCTGTTGTTGTGATGCAGCCTGCATGTAGTTGCCAGTGGAGGGTTGTATTAGTGCGTTTGCTTTCAAGAAACATTTACATTCTGGTGTTTTAGTTTTTGCGAACACTCTATTCACACACTTCGCAAAACTTCATGCCGGTGATTAGGATGTAGCATGTAGTATGGTATGAACTGTTGTATCATATTGCCATACATTGAACGGTTATGCATTTTGGAAGACCGCGTGCGTGCATACCGACATGCATATGAATATGTATCTATCGTTGGCTGATGTCATGCACATGTTTTCAGGTGGCCAGCTAGCAATTGTACGTACTGTTGCAGACGGATATATATATATATGGATATATATATATATATATGTGTATATATATATATGTATATATATATATATACATATCCATCTAGATATTGTAGGAAAGTCTGCCGCGCTGCAGTTTTTGTACTCATTTTGGTCGCTCTACAGTGTTGCATGTTCCCTCATGCACATATTTCGGATGGTTGTATGTTATTGTTTTTGAATCCATGCATCATGCGAGTGTGATTGGGTTTAGGTGCATATCAACTTATACTCGCAGTCAGTCTTAGGCAAGTGTTACTCAGTAAAAGCACATCGACTGTATCGTATCTTTCTTTACAGTGCTGCAAGTTTGTACGGGGTGCGCAATGGAGATCACTTGGGGAGTATTTATGTGTTGTTGTGCGTGGGATTGTTGCAGGTAGTGGTAGTCGTAGGAGAAGTAGCAGCAGCGCTACGAGTAGGAGCCTAGGCGAAGGAGGAGATGTACATGTGTATGATACATGCACAAATAAACCAACCAACAAACGAATAAATCACGAATCATATATATATATATATATGTATGCGTGTGTGTACACACTTCCTTCACTGGTGCATCATTATGTCTGTGGTTTTGCAACGCTGTTGCTGTTGCTGGTGTCATCGCTGTTTCTTGCTGTCGATGATGACTGTGGTGACGGGAGCGATGCTCTGTGCCATTATCCAACACTCGTATTGTGTGGACAGGTGCATGTCTGTTGATCCATTTGCTGATGACTCGTGCTCTGCTGCTGCGGCTACTACGAGTCCGACGATGACTCTTACGACGACGATGACGTCGAAGACGACGACGGCGATGACTATTGTTGCTGTTTTACGAAGACGACTACGACGACGGCACCACCACACGCACCACCAAGAAACGGTATGCATACCACTCAAACTAGCTAATCTTTATCTGCGTGTGGATTTGTAGTCCAGTCCTGGGTGCCGAGCCCTGCTATCCACCAAGGAGAGTAATGGTCGACAGGTATCGGAATTGGCCAGAGCCTTTGACTTTTGACCGGGTGTCTTCTGTACATGCAAGTATGAGTATTGGATGAGATGAGAACATCAAGAATGTCTACAAAACATAGCTGGCAAGCAACAGAGTCATTCTGGGATATCGGTGTTGGTCAATTGTAAGATCATGTTGGGAAATGGTTCTCCAGGTATCTGAGAGGGAGTCATGGTGCGGGACGGTCCGCGCATGAGGTTATGCTGGGCATACTTAGGCTGCAGGGAACGGCGTAGCAGAGCCGAGGAGTTGGCAATGGTTTCGGTTCCTTGTGTTTTTTTTGCTGAATTGCAGCTAAGGTATGGAAAGGCGATCTTCGGAGGCTTGGAGACCTACACGTCGGGGTGTTACTGCAACGTCGGACTCCGACTCGCCTTCATGAGGTGTGCTGCTTGTTGTGCAGGCGTCCTGTGGCACAATTATGGACCGGCTGCCTACCGCGTGCTTGTTCTGCGCTCACTATCGAAGAGTAGCTGTAGCAGAAACAGACCAGCAGCCGACTGGACACAGCACCGGCTGCCGAACCATCATTTTTGTGGTGTCGTTCCGTTTCGAGGCACGGCCGCCGGACATACCAGACGAGCACGACCGGAACTGGCAGGTTCTGCAGGCCTGGAGCATGTTGATACTCAGCGCGGCCTGACGCAGTTGAGAACCGTGGGGTTCTTCCCAGCCAGCCCCCTACAATACTGTCCCGGAGACGGCGTTCACTGCTTGTTGTGCGAACTTAGAGCATTGATCTGCACTACAGGGGCTGTTGTCCGAGTCGTTGGCATTTGGAAGACTGGCGCCTGCTCAGTGGGACGCGAAGATCGTCGATGCAACGGAGGCGAAGGATGGGGACTCCAAGTCGAGCAGCAGCGACGAGGTGCCTCGATGCTTTGCTTCTTTTCTAAGAGGCTCGCGACGACACAAAATTACTCAGAAGAGAGAACGCAAGCAAAACATATTTCTCTCTGTGTGAATGCATGTTTTGCAGCGTCCCCTGCAGTCCTCATACTGTGGCTCTGGATGTTGATATTGTGCCTGACAGGACTGAGACTGAGACGAGTCGAGCCAGGCCGGCATGCCCACTTTACACGCGGTGAATCGTAAGCCCGACTTCTGATTTATCAGCCACGGCAAGCCCACACTGTCCAATGATGGCCATTACTCCGTCTACACACGGGAAAGCTTTTTCTGAGCTTGTGCGGCTTGCTGTGTGCATGTTGTCAATGCCAATCCCTTACTCTAGAAATGTCAAGACGCCGAGTTTTTCCGCGTAAAACTAGGCCGCTGCTGCTTGCATTCGCACTCCGAGGTACTCTCAAATACACTGCGTGGTTTCAAGATGAACCGTCGGATGACCAGCAGAATATCAAGCATGAGCATACTCGTTTAGTTTGCAATTCTTCCAAGGACGCATCATGACCCATATTCGAGTCGACTCTGAGATGGGTCGATGCAAACCAGCACCCCACACAGAAAGCGGGGTTCCAGGGGACGTGAGTTGCCGGAGAGACTGCAGGAGCAGAGTCGAAGGGTCTGTTCTCGGGCAGCCCAGCCGCGGCACCGGAAAGCCTAAACCGGTTTAGGGTTTAAGTTTTGGGGTGTGCTTGCAGTGTGAAAGTGGTGGATGCATTTCCATAGGATTGCTGGTGCTCGCATGTCGCGCACATGCATCGGCATGTAGTCTGCCAACCACCCAAATTCTTCTCTATTGTTTGCTAGTAAACTAATATGGCTCATGCATTGTGCTTCGATTGGAGTGCTGCGCAATATGGACGCGACTCATATGCAGCTTGCAACTCAGATGGACATATATATATATATATACAAAGAAATATATATATATATATCTCTCTCTCTCTCTCTCTTTCTCTCTATATGTACATACATGCTATTAAGACGTATAGATATAGAATAAACATGGTTCAACCGAAACCGGCCCTGTGAATTTTTCATGAAAGCTACTCGATATATAATAATTCTAATTTCTAAGAATAATGATACCAATAATATTAATAATTATTATAAAAATCTTAATCTTATTTCTAATAATAACTATGATCTAAATAACAAATATATATTAATATATTATCATTAAGAAGTCTATGAATATATCCATATATTTATGAATTATATATATTTTTATTTATTCGTGGAGAATTCTATAATTAAAAATTTTTCGATAATTATTCAAAAATATATTTAGAAATTATATATATTATTTTTTCGAATTTGGATAGGTATTAGAATTAATAAAGGTGGATGATAATTTGAAAAATATAATTTGATAATATTAAATTATGGTCGAATTTTATATGTAGAAAATTATATTGATCTATTAGCATCTTATATATTTCTTAGTTGAAAATTATTATTAAGATATTTAAGAAGTCTCGATATTTTTTTTAATTTTAATTTGGGGCCTCGAAACTAAGGCCTTTGTAAGTTAGCATTCGGCCTTTCTCATTATATTATTATGTCTAATCTATATTATATATCTATTGATTACTCGACCATATAGATATAGATTCATTTATTAAATATTCTATTTCTGAGTATCATGATTACCGCCTACATTATCTCAAACGAAGAATTAGAGTAGAATTTATACGAGCGCACGGGTCGAAAATTAAAAAGATATTTTATTTTGGCTCGTGATATTATATTACTCTCGAAATTAATGTGTCGTTAATATTTGACGGCTTGGGAAGGGGGAAGATCTGGGTTAGAGGCTATTTCATTTAGCCTTGCGCCAGAAGCTACACTATAATCTCTGCGCCGTCCTACTCACTGGTGAGAATTGCAGTAGTGGTATCGATCGCCCGCCTGAGCGTTATCTATTTTCGGGGTTATAGGCGAGTTATTATACGCTCTTTGGCGGATTTCAGCTTCTATAATCGTCGTCTTATAGTCAAAATAAACTAATACCCTTTATGGTATTTGATGAACGTATAATTAAGCACCTTAGCCCGACGTTAGGTTCATCCCTTATCACGAGTTCTATTTATTAAAAACGCCCCACTTCAACTTTTCATTTATCTCATAAGTTCAGTCAAATAACCACTATAGAATAACGACGCATCGTTTTAATTCCAAACACTATATTACCTTCCAAATCAACGTGCCGTTGAATTTTGCTGGCCTACTACAAGAATAAATTTATAACGACGACTAATATCGCACGAAGTAGACGAATCTCTCTTCACGAACTACTCCTTTCAGCAAAGTACTTACAATATATCAAGAAATAAATTCGATATAATCAGAAATTATACCAGAAGAAATAATCTGGTGCCGAATATAATGACTGGCCCAAATATCATAACATATCAATAAAATCAATATCAATATTATCCGAATCAAGTTTCCAAGGCCAAATATTCAAGCATTAGATTCAAATCGTAAGAATCGAATAGCTTGCTCAAATATCAACTCAAATATCAATTAACCGGGCATGAATCGATAGGCCGACATAGGTTTTACAGTAATTTTACAGGTTGACAAAGCAGGCAATGTATGCAGCGGCTGTGGGCCTTTTAACACGCTTGACATATTGTGGAGAATCGTTTTACGCTTGATCCTTGAAGAATGCTTCAATGCGTGTTTGGATACGGTTGACTTTCAACACACCACACCGGCACCCGAAGTGCACCTGTGATCAGTTGCTGACGTGGTTTTGTGTTTCACGTTTCGGCCGCCCCAGATAAATATTCGCAGGTCCATCACGTGATCGTTGCGCCAGTTCGAGCAGGAGGGCCTGACACACCTTAAAATTCCGGTAGAAGTGCAAACTTCGCACGCATCTCAAAGCTTGCGTCTTTGACTCCTGCGACTCCTGCAATCCACGCTACAACTAACTGCTGGTCGCCTCACGCTGAGACAAAGCACATCTGTCTGTACTATGTTGTGAGCTGTAAACGGCGAGCACAAGGGAAAGGCACCGAGTTCAGGTGTTCCCAGAAAGCTAGGACAGCCAGCATCTTTCATCAAATGTCGGCTGATCTTCAAATTGAAAATGTCGCAAGGCGTTGCAACAAAAACGGCTTAGGAGGGATGCTTGCGTTTGAGCTCGGGCCGATTCTCGATTCGCCTTCCGCTATGGCCTTTGGCGCCTCCGTCGCACTTCCGACATTCATAAGGGTGGTTGTCAAAATTATGGTCCCTTTTTGGGTCCTTATTATAATACGGCACCTATTATTTAGGGTACCCCAAAAGGGACCATAATTTTGACAACTAATAAGGCAGAACAAGTTGGAGCTAAACATAACGTGCGCTCTCTTGCAGCCTAGTCGCCTGCACTCTGCCGACCATTGGAGCCAGAGCCTCGGGCCTCGCAGGAAATATGCTGCCAACCCCGGTCCGAAAGCGAAAGGGCCACAGATCAGCATTCGGTGAAAAGCGATTCCAAGGCCACCAAAGCACTGAGGAAGGTGAGAGAACAATCACATCATCCTCGTCTGTCGTTGCTCTCGGCTGCTGCGGCATGGACTTTGTGGTTGGTCTTGCTTTTGGTGGTGGTCTCGCCTAGGCAGTCATTCAAACGCCCTCCCCCGACTGGAATGATGATGAAGCAACAGCTGGCATCCCCCAACCTTTAACTAGCGTCCGCTCTTCTTCCGGTGGGTTGCAAAAACCAGCTACAACAACTTGCAGCGCGACCCAAGGCGGCAGAACATGTCGCGCACACTCGGGTTGAGGGGCTTGGCGTTCTCAGATGTGACAGGATGTCAGCAGGAGTGGAAAAACTACGCGGAACCTGAGTTCCGTGCTTGATCGCCCGTTCCGGCATATCCGGCAGGTCGCGGCATAGGCTTTGTTGCTGGCCTCGCCTTCGTTGGTGGCTTCGCCTCGGAGGCGTATAACCAGCTTCGGAGCCCTTCCCGCCTTCGACCGCCCAGATCCCATAAGGCTTGCCTCACGTGTCAGAGAAGCCTGCGGCGTTTTGAGATTTGGGCAGATAGCCAAAGGGCGTGGCTCCAGGTCCCTTGGAAAAACTCATCATTGAGTGTGGTTCAGATTTCTCAAACCTGAAACTCTGCACTCACGGAGCACGAATGACGAAGTCAGCGTGAATTCAGATGTCTGCTAGATATGCTTAGTCCATGCAAACTACTCGATGCATGAACCTCCCTGCGACGACGACGGCGGCTACCAAGTTACAACCGCTTCTACTACTGTTGCTGCTACGCCTCCTCGAAAGCCTAGTGCTCGGATCCGAAGTCCGTTGTGCCCGTATTGACGTTCGCAAGATCAGACACGCAGAGCTCCAAAAGCTTATTTCTGGATGCAGCTTTATGATCCAGGTGGGATCTTCCACTCCCACATCTTGCAAGTGACCCTACCCATGCACCCGGCAGCTGTAATTGCAAGATAACATACAGAACAGCTTCAAAGTAAGCCTCGATGAATCAGCTGCAGAAGAACCCACATGACATGAGCAACACCGTTCGAACGACTGTGCCGTCATACCTGGCCAGGGCGCAGTTGGCACGTCTTCGAGACTCGCCTCGAAAGCCTTGCGGATGACTCCACGGAGGGCCTGCCACTAACTTCAAATCTTCGGCGGATCTGTAGAATGGGGAGGCAGATTCTTTGCAAGAATCTGGTCCTTCAAGCTTTGAAAATCCGTACCCGTACCCAACCCAGCGGTTCAGGCCTTTAGATTGTCGAGGGCTTTCTGGGAGCTGTTGGTATTTTGGGGGCTTCGAGCTTTTGACTTGGTAGCACGCTTTTTGTTTTGTCGTTTCGAGATATTGCGAGTTTGGACTGTCGCAATCACAGTTGTGAAACATCAGAGTTAGTCCTAAGTCTTACATACACCCAGGCCTGAATCCTGGATTGCAACAACACTGCACGGAGTGAGCCGCCTTTGAAATTATCTCAGTTCTTCAGTATCGCGAGCTGCAGCGGAAGATGATTGCAAATCCCGAAAGTCAACGCCTGCTTCATTAACACCAAGTCTTTCCCTCCTCCTCGGCCGGCGGCTGCTCACGAGAGACCTTAGATACATCACTGCACACGTCCATGAAGCTTGCACTCGGGTCCAAGTACCGCTTCGCCTTTGATGCCTCTGATGGGCCCGGAGGAAGGCAACAATCAACGAGCTTTTTCGGCTGCGTAAGCTTCGCGGCTCACAGGTTGTCTCATAGCTGACGGTGCCCCGGATCTACCATTCAAAGACATGCAACAGCTGAACAAGTTTTGCGGGCCGGCGTCGCAACCGAGGCAAACTTGCCCACAGGGTTCGTAGCAGAAACGTCCACATAAATGGCCACCTGAGGCGTGGGATCTGAGGATTTTGAAAAACGGATCCCTTGCATGCATTGCGGACAATGCAGCATTTGCATGTTGCGGCAGCTCCATTCAGATTGAGGCAACAGCAACTATGCACAGCGGCTGCTGACTACTTGGCTGCCGACAGGACAGCTTTCGACTGCAACGCTCCACGCAGCTGGAGAGATCATGGGGACCACTGCAGTCACCTGGAAGCGTACAGGTGTGTCCCGAGCCCGGTGAACGCTTCAAAACAGCTTGTCGGCATTGCCTGGGGCCGAGTGGCTACATTTTTTCTGGCACAGATGGCCGCAAGGAAGCTCTCGTTCGCAAATCGCTTCACACTTGCACTCCTTCGAGAACACACGCATTTGACTGGAGGCTGTGATGACTTGTGCAGCATGCAACCAAGGCATTTTCTTGTATAAAATGAACACTATACTACTATACGAAACCTAGAAGCACTAGATTCACTAGATCCGTCGCGGAGAAGCAGCCCTGAAAAGCCACGGGTCCTTCGAAAGCCACAAAATGTAATGATAGGCTCGGTCCCTTACCCTTGCCGGCGGCGAACGCAGCAACCAACCCTTCATACCTTGAATTTGCTTCTGTTCTGGCTTCTGCAGCACGAACAAAAGCAGCATGACACCAAGCATTCTATCGACGGTCCTCTCCGCACCTGCGCGAGCAGGCGTGGCCGCAGGCCAGACGTGCCCCACATCGCCGCTGGCACATAGTCGCACAGGGCTCACCGCATTTGTTGGGGCAGTAGTGCCCACAAGTCAGCTTCCGGCTGCATCGGTCTGTGCAACCGGCAGCCACTTGTTCTGGAGTGGAATTGCAAGCGAGCTGTATCTTGGAGTGCTTCTCGGGAAAGCTGGGACAATCAAAGTTTTTCTTCTGCAGGCACTC